CATCAAAACCCACATTATTTAAATGGAATCAAGAAAAGGTAAAAGACACTTGATGAATATTACAAACCGAGTCAGTCCTAATTTACCCAATCTTGAGCTGGTTTGATTTGCAATTTGATCTTGTGGACCTGAAATGTTAGTAGGCGAGACAGTCGTAGAAAAATAGAAGTAACACAAATGTTTTCTATCATCAAAATTATAATACCTAAGACCAAATTTGTATCAAGCTGACTTTCAATCCATCATTTATCATGCATTGGAAATATTTGATGCTTCGGGAGCAAGATTTTTATCCTTGGCTGGAAGGATGGTGGTCATAAGGTCTTCTTTTTATCTTTGCCAATTTTCTTATCAACACACTCTTTGTTCCCAAAGGTGCTTTCTATGAATTGAATAGGCTTTGTAGAGACTTCATATGGCACAAAGACAATGATAGATAGGGTCTCCATTATGTGGCTTGGGAAGAACTATGTAAACTAAAAAATCTGGGTGGGACGGGTTTACATTCAGTTATTTACAAGATTGGTCCTCTAGGAGTTAGCTTTTCTTGGAGGATTGCTCAAAATCCTTCATCATTGTTACATAAAAACATTTCTACTAAGTATGGTAAAAATATGTGGAATGGAGAGTTTAAAAGAGGTCATTCAGCTGCTTGGTATATTCTTTTGGATGGGCTTCTTACCTTAAACCAATTGTTAAATGACAAGTTGTGAATGGAGAAAGTATCAATGTTATGAATGATATTTGGTTGATGGAAATATGTTTTAATAAATGGCCAATGTTAGCTGATTGTGTTGGATTAATTGGGGTTATGCTTTAGCAATTCTTACTTTAGGATAGCAAATGAAATGCGGCTAAACTACTTCAATTTTTTAATCAAGATATTGTAAATTTAATTATGCAAGAATATATTATTCATGATGAGCAAAAGGATCAAGTGGAAGCTCTGTTCCATCTCTCAGGTAGATTAATATCTGCTTTGGCATATGGTGAAACTATTAAATATAACATTGAGGATGATGATTTTGGGTTTTCTTGTTGGTTTAGGAAATTAAAACTAAAGCCAAGAGTTGAAATGTTTTGGCAGAAGATGAGAAGGTATGCTTTACCAACTAATGAATTCTTAAAATATAGAAGACTTTAGCATAGTGATCTTTATTCTAGAGGTTGTCAAGAGGTCGAATATTGTTCAAATATTGCTGTCCATTACAAATATCTTGTTGATATTATTTACAAAATTGAGACAATGGGGATTTCACATTCCTATTTTCCAATCTTTGGCAAATTGCTTAACTCAGCTTAGAAGTCTTTCCAAATATCAATCAAATACTATAAAGGTTTATTTTACAGCTATTTTTAACTACTGGAAATGCCGGAATGATAGTAAGCATGGTAATTCTATTGCTCTTACTTCAGTGGTTGTTGCAAATTTTTTATCTACTGCCATGTCTAGATATCTGATGCTAGTCGACTGGGGTGCTTCTCTCCATATGGAGTTTGGTATTTTTTTCACCCTCCACCTCTATAGTGGATAAAGATGAATGTGGATGCCTCTTTGTTGGATTCAAATATTGCAAGCATTGGGTGAATTGTTAGAGATCATAAAGGTAGTGTTGACCTCATTATTTGAGGTCAATTTCCCCAGAATCGATTCTAACACCTAGGTATTCGTAACCTAGTGTAGACGTCGTCCCCATAGGATTTCTCTTAGGTGGATACCCATTGACGTAGCATCGACTAAAACCTACCATTCAATTCAAATCAAAATCAATTCAATCCAATTTTAATTCAATTCCAAATGAACTCCAATCAAGCCCGCTTTATGATTCGTTGATGTCGATCGACTCAATTTAATATAATCTAAATTGATTTGATCTAAATCTAATTCAACATTAAATCAACTCGTCTCGAATCCGTTTAAATTAAATCAACTATCAATCAAACCCCAACTTCACATTTAATAAAGCTTGATTTAATCTTTAATTAAATTAGAATCAACCCCTAAAGTCCTTCTTTTAAGGAATAAATTGATCTTAGCCATCAATTTATTTTGAAACGAGATTGTACTTTATTCTCAATGCAGTATTCGATTACAAAAATAGGAGAAATCAAAATCTGCGTGGTGACATAAATTTTCCCACCAAGGTTTTTCTGGCGACTCCGCTGGGGATCAATCCTCTCTCCATCTTTAGCAGTGATTTATACCCTTACATCGGTAGTATGCTTGTGCTTGTCATAAGTTATAACTACCTTTCTTCCGCCGGTTCTTTCATTCATTTCATTCTTGAATAATTTGGCCGGTATCTAAAAAAAGTTTAGAGGTCTTATTTTGGACCCCGTTAGAAAACTAATGAGGAGCTCCTTTGTAATGACCTTTTTGTAAAATAAATCCCTGTGCTTATTCGAATGTTGTAGTTACATTCTTTTTTGTAGCTTGATGTTTGAGTTAGCACTGGGTCCGAAATTTCAAAAGTTGAAATTAAAACACTAAATAAAATTCATCCTTATCTCAATATTATGTATTATAGTTATATTTTCATATAACTCAAAATATATAAAATGAGATAGGATTTGGTTTATTTAGTTGGATTAATTAAACTTTTACAATTTAAATAAATTTTCAGAGTCTAATTAAAAATTTCCTTTTAAATTTCAGGAAAAATGATGGGTAAATTAATCTTTTCCCTATCTGATAACATGAACCTGTCCTACAATCCGTTTGCTGATGGTAGTGTAATCAAGTTTGGAAAAGGATTTGCGGATTTGCAGTTGTCTGTTAGAGGACCTGAGTTCACTATTGTTCCAACTAGTGAGGTTGCAAATCAGAAACCTATCCTAGAATTCACTTTGGGACGCGAGTCTCAAACTTCTCCTATAGACCCTAGGCCCTCTGTGTTTACTAGGATTGAGCAACTTAATCAAGACCAGAAACTCAAGTCAGTTGTAGTAGCAAACAGTTCAGTCCCTTTTAGTACACCGAGTAAGTTTGAGATTGGATCGTCTTCTAATTTATCGACGATTATGACTAACGAATATAAAAATCACTTTCTTTGGATTCAAAATTTTGAAACTAAATTAAAGGGACATCCCTTTGTTGGTTTTGAGATAATTGTCTAATGTTCTCATTCACTATTGAATAACTATAACTTCCAAATTTAAATCTATTATTGACTGAACTAGGATGTTAGAACATGAGGGGTTCTATCCTTAGTGATGTCGATGATACCTTTGTTTGAATCTTTGTCAAACTTCAAAACAAAATCAAGCTACAGTTTGACTAAGTCCATAATTGACTAATCTTGGATGTTAGAATTGGAGGGATTCTATTCCTGATAAAGTCTATGGTAACTTCGTCAAAAAGATATAAAATTCAATTCAAGATATATCTTTATCATAAACTAGAATTGGATGTTAGAGTCTAAATAACTCTATTCCCATTCAAGAATCTTTCCATAGCATTGAAATTCAAAATATTTGAAACTACAATTTTCTTTGAAAGAAAGTTGTTAAGTTTTGACTATTTGATTAAATTCATTTTGGTTATATTCAAAATATTTAATTTAGGAGGAGTCAACCCATCTTTCATTGAGTTTTTGAATCTTTTCCCATGTCTTTTTTTCGTTGAGTTTTTGAATCTTTTCTAATATCATTTTGATTGGGTGAAGATGATTAAAACTTAAGCGATCACAGTCAAATATTATAAGAAAATTATCAAATAAAAAAAAATAAAGCTTTCACTTTTTGATTAAAATCAAACTTTTCTCAATCATTATGAGAATTTGACATTCCTTAGTAGTTTCACTATAAAGGATGCTCAAATATTCTCCTTCTTCTTCAACAACTCATGCAGAAGTTAAAATTTTTAAGGAAAATTTTATCATGTTGCATTTAGTTCTCCTAGAACATGCAAATAAGGACTCAAAAAATTCATATGTATTTCTTTGAGTTAATCGAAACAAATTCAATCATAGAATCAATCTTTAAACAAAATCTTGCGGAGCCAAATACTTGACTATTTTGAAGCCAAATACTTTAGTAATTCTCTTCCACAAAGGGTGCCTAACCACCTTGCCAAACATAATTTGGGATTTGCTGAAGTTAACTCTTTGTCCAGTCCATTTGCAAAAGTCTTCCACAATAATCTTCATTGCCTTGGCTAAAGCAATAGATGCAAGAGAGAAGATTAGCACATCATCAGCATAAGGAAGATGTGTAATCTTTAGACCTCTAGGAGAGATACGAATGCCAAGAGATTGCCCCCTTTGCTTCATGGAATTGGACAACAATTGAGAACACAAAATGAAAAAGAATGGTGATAGTGGACATCCTTGACGGAACCCACTATGAGCATTAATCCATTTAGAATTCTTTCCATTGATGATAATGGAAAACCTCACATCTACAACACATTCCAATAGAGGGTTAAAAAAATGATAAGGAAATCCATACCACTTGAGAATTTGATGAAGAGTTGCCCATCCCATGCTATCATAAGCTTGCTCCATATCCAATTTTATACAACACATTCCAATAGAAGCTTACTTCTTATTTTTGGATATCTTGAACTTATGAAAAATCTCTTGAGCCAAAAGACAATGCTCTGAAATAGATCTCCCAAGAATGAAAGCCACCAGCCCTTCATAAATCAACTTAGAAATTCCCTTCTTCAATCTATTAACTAGCATGGAAGCAACAATCTTATAGTTAGTTTGGCAAAGGCTGATAGGCCTGTAGTTAATCAGAACCATAGGATTTTTGACTTTAGAAATCAAGACTATCAAGGTATCTTTCCACTCCTTGCACATACGGCTGGACTTAAAAAAACTGTTGACAACATTCCATAATGTCTCCCATACAATACTCCAATAACTTTTGTAAAAAGAATAAGTAACCCCATCCATACCTGGAGACGTAATGTTACCTTGCTGGAAGACCGAACACTACAACTCATTCATGGAAAAATCCTCATTAAGCAAGGCAAATTCCTCAGCTGAAACAAACTACTTATCTGTAGCTAATGGCAAACCCGTTAAATCACAATTCCTATGCTGCCATTTTTTTTTTCAAAAAACTGATAAAAAATCTTCTCAATTTGATCATCTTCATCATATACCTTATTCAACTCATCTTTAATTTGATTAATCTGATTTCCATTCCTTCTAGCCGTGGCAAAATTGTGGAATAGATTGGAATTTGTATCTCCTTCTTCATACCATCTAGCTTTTGCCCTTTGATTCCACCATGTAGATAATCTTCTTAAAGTAACATTAAGCTCATGTACTTTAGTTTGAAGTAACAGGAGATCCTCATCTGCCCAATTCTCCCCCAAAGCCTCCTTGTTTTTAAGTTCAAGGATCTCCCCTTTCAGCTTTTCCTTTAAACTGTTCAAGTCTTTACATTTATTCTTATTCCAAAAAAATAATGCTCTTAAAGTTCTGCTAGTCTTCCTTTGTAAGATCATATTTTCATCTCCATAATCCTTCTTATTCCAAGAGTGATAAACAACACTCTTAATTGCCGGGTAAGACCTCCATGTATCCTTAAACATGATAACCTTCGACTTGTATCGCACATTAACATCCAATTTATGAACAATCGGACTATGGTCAGAAGCCACTCTGGCCAAATGTCTAATAGAAGCTAATGGAAGCTTCTGAATAGCAAAGGAATTTAACAAGCACCTGTCCAACATCTCCCAAATCCAAGAGGCCCCCTCCTTGTTGTTACACCAAGTATACCTTGGCCCAATGTATCCAATGTCATGAAAATATGAATTCATCATAAAACCTTTCATCTCCTTAGGTCCTTTAGAGAACATGAACCTCTTACCTCCTCTCTTTTCCTCCTTATTCAAGATACAATTAAAGTCCCCTCCAATGATGGCAGGACAAGAATCCTCCATACATTTCTCAAGTTGCTTCCATAAACTACCCCTCTAGCCACAACACCTACTGCCATAGATCGTAGCAACTTTCCACATTCCCAAGTTAGGAATCAAAAGGTTACCAACAATAACCTGAGAAGAAGCTTCCTTCACATTAAACAAAACCAACATCCTTTTCCATAACACCAGAATCCCTCCAGAGGTACCTTCTCCAGAATGATGCCAATAATCCCAATCCTTCCAAATAAGACAATCAATATCCCTTCTATCAATGCTAGAAAGCTTGGTCTCCATTAGACCAATAAAAAAAACATCTTGTTCTCTCACAACTTCCTTCAAATATAATGAGGCCTCCTTCTTCCTTGCCCCCTACAATTCCAAAATAATAAAGAGGAATTCATTTAAACAATTAAAGGGGATTTCTCCCCATTGATGGAATTCATCCTTCCATCTCTCTTTTTCTTCTTATAATCTGGTTCAACTGGCTCTAAAGATCTCAACTCCTTGGCTAACTTCACTTTAACACCACCACTTTGAGACCCCACACACATATGAATGAGTTCTGTATCAGCAACTTCCATATCCTTCTCCTTTGATTTATCAATTTCTTCAATCTTACCACTGTCTTCTTCTTCACTGATATCAGTTAATGCAGCAAAACTATTGATTAACTGAACATCTGGAGGTTTAACACCCTCAAATCTCTCAAAATATGGGCAAAAAACTTGTGCCCGGACAGACTTTTCAACAACAACCTATGCCTATTTCTTCAACTGATTTTCCTTCTAAAAAGTAACACTCTGGTTGTTACTTCTCCTGTTCTCATCAATAGCCTTATCACCAATTATTCTCCTATTATTAGCATTACTATTGAACACCCGTCCATTTTTTAAAATGGACATGAATCCAAGGGCCAAATTCTGAACTGATCACTGATTTCTTACCGTCAGTCACAGCCTTATTATCTTCCTCATTAACTGCATCTGTCTTCCTTAACTTCTGATCTTGAACCCCAAGTGATACATTCTCCGGACAAGCATTAGATTCATGACCCACTTTGCCACATTGGTAACATAGAAGATCAATCTTCTCGTACTCCACACGTTGGAAGAACCTCCCAGCTGAGCCATCTACACAAACACCATTCAATAGCTTTTTCTCCAAATCAATCCTAACACAAACCCGAGCAAACTCACGCTTCCCCCAGCAGAAAGTATTCCCATCTAAATACATTGGGGTTCCAAAACAAGATGCAATTTTTGCCAAATTATCCTCATCCCAACAATACAGTGGCAAGCACGGGAGTCTGATCCAAACTGGAGCAAAAATACCCTTAAAAGAATTTGGATCAAAAGCAGGGGACCATCTGTCCATACCGACAATGAATCCACTTGCATACCATGGACCACCATTCAAAATATTTTCTACCACCTCATTCATTTTAAACGACATAATATCCAATTCATGCCAATTGACGTCATATGAAAACCACCATACTTGCTCCGTTGCCTCCTCAATTCAATACTACACACAGAAAAAGGTATGTTGCAGCCCAATACTTTAAATAAAGCTAAATTCTTCAAAATCACTGAGTTATTTGCCTCCATTTCAGAATTTAATCTCACTGCAATCCCATCTTCAAAAAATTCAGCTTGATCCATGTTAAACAAAATCTTGATGTGCTTTGGCTTCGACCATGCATCAGTAATCTCACCATTACTTTTCTGAACTAAATTAACAATCGGATTCACCTTCAAGATTTCAAAATTCTCTAAAACCTTTACAGGACCCTCATCGTCAATCAAATTTTCATCAACCTTCTAATCAACGATCGCCGGCAGAACCTTAACAACATTCTGATCCTTTTGCATATCAAGAACTCCAGAAAAATTATTTACCCTTAAAATTAAATCATCCGAAGCCGCATGTTCAAGAATAGCCAAATCTGGATTTCTCTTCTCCCCCATAAACTTCTTAGCAACAAAATCCTCCATCACAACATTATTGCCCTTACCCTCAACAAAAGTTTGACGGCTCGGAGGTCTTGACCCTTCTCTAATCACACTTCCAGTCGAAACCTTACCAATAGCTCGTAAGGAGCCAGAAGAACGCAGAGCATTCATGAACCCCGGCAAAGAACTGCCAGCGATCCTCCGACGCCAATTCCACCGATCACGAAAATCCCACCCAAAACAAAATTCGATCCTTTAGTGAACTTTCTCTCTCTAGAATTCCTGACGTTCTCTCTCTAGAAAAGCACTAATTCCTTACAACCTTTAAAATTGACCATGCTTCTTCATCAGGTTACAAAAATAATAATCTATTGAAGAATGATAAGGGTGTAGAAAATGGCAATGTTAATCTTAAAAATCCAATTTCTTCATCTAGATTAGATAATTCTAATGTGTGGATCAAAAAGCCACAAATTAAAATAAATTTGATTGGAGTTCATGATGAAAATGAAGATGCAAATGTTGTCAAACTTGACATGGAAAATGAAAAAGCTAATGCTCAAGTTTTGAGTAATTCTTTGGTTGTGAAAGTTATTTGTAAAAACCTTCCTTTTTCAAGATGTGCAATTGAATTAAGGAGGCAATGGATGAAATTTGGAGGATTTCATATAACTTTGTTTGATTTAGATTTGCTTTTGTGTTTCTTTCAGTCATATGAAGCAACGGAGGAAGTTCTTAATGGAGGTCCTTGGTATATAGGGGGCTTCATCATTGGTTTAGACAGATGGTCACCTTACTTCTCTCCTACTTCCATGGATGGGATTTCTTCTCCTATTTGGGTTCATCTTCCTCATTTGCATTTACATTACTGAGATGAAACCAATATTATTAGAATAGTTTCTAGAATTGGGACTCCTTTAATATTGGATGACAACATGTTTTGATGGGGGAGAAGGGAATTTGCTAGAGCTTGCATTCGGATTAATTTGAATTCTAAACTCCTTTATGGTATTTGGGTTGAAGGTCTTCATGGTAGATTTTATAAAAAGTTTGAATATCAAAATCTATCAAATCTTTGTTTCAAATGTGGGAGAATTGGACATAAAGATACCGTTTGTCCAAATGTCTCTCATAATCAGAATCTATTTGTTAAAGAAGTCCCGAAAGGTTCAGTTCAAGTTGATGATAATTCGTATGGTCCTTGGATGCATGTGAAGTTTAAAACAAAAAAAAAAGAAAAATTTTTTAGAAGAAGTAATTTGATTCCAAGGATTATTCAATTAAGAAGAACTCAGATAGAAGTCCTATTGTAGATAATAATTCAGATCGTCTACTTTCCAATAAACATATTGTGTTATCTCTTGATAACAATGATGAATTGAAGGCTGATTCAGTTGAAGGTATTAATAAAACTATCTTTATTAAAAATTGTATAAAGGATGCTGATTGCCGGATTTGTGGGAGGAGGAGATGAAGTTGTTAGTGTTGAGTAAGATTTGGTTGTTGAGCCGTTTATAGTTCAAAATTCAAAAATTGAATTCAATCTTACACAAAAGCTGGATGTAAGAGATAATTCTATTAGTTCTGAAAATGTTTTTTTTGCTGATCCATTAGATCCTTCAGATATTTTCGTGGATCATCTTTTGTTTGATCTACCGTTGGAAGCTCAAAATTCAAATTTTGAATTCAAACTTACACAAATTCTGGATGAAGAAGAGGATGATGTTAGTTCTGAAATAAAATTGGTTGCTAAACCGGCTTTTCCTTCATCTGATTTCGTGACTGAGTCAAAGGTTGTTAATGAACCAAATTCTATTTTTCCTTCAAATATTGTAGTGAGAACTATTGAAATGGAAGCTACTATTGATGGAACGAGAGGTATTTGTGGAGAAATTGTTACTCCTCCTTTTAAGATTAGTTTAAATTTTAAAAAGGTTGTATTAATTAAGGGAAAAATTTAATCTGTCAAGGAGAATGGATCTTCTTATTCTAAGCATAAATTTTTCAAAGAATTACAAGCCTTAGGACCGGTGAAAGATCTTCCTAGAAGAAGGATGGCTAATCTCAGAACGAAGAACTGTATGATAGTTTATTCTCACTTAACTCATTAATATGCTTGCTGGTTTTCTCTTTTCAATTAACAATGGGGAAAGATACTCGAGGATGGAGCTATTGGTCAAAGAGTATGTCAAAATACTAGCTTTGGATTATGGATTTGGATGTTGGAAAGGCATCTGAAATACCTTTTTGTAGTATTCTTGGGTGTTTTGTGGATGTCAGTGACAAATTGTATTTTCCTTCATGTTATCTTTCGTAGCTTCTTTTTTTTTTTTAGATTTTTATGTGTTAATTAAACTTATTCTAGTTGATTATGGGATCAATACTATGTCCTATTTTTTAACCGATTGGGAACTCTGGGATACTAATCAACCTTCAGGTTGTTTAATTCTTTGGTATCCCCTGCATCTCAAGGGTTTTAAAATGGGAAATAGTGAGTCTAATTTCAATTACAATAAGTTTATTTTAACAAATATGCTTTCAATAAGGTTCCTTTTTTATCAAGGAACCATTAGTTGTTTTCATTTTAGTTTGTATTAGGTTGTTTTCTCTTTCCTTTTAATGCTATAATTGCATTTCTAAAAAAAAAAAAAATGGTTGGCATGTTATATGAAACAGTTAAGAAAGTCATGTGATGCATAAGTAGTAAAATGCAAAAGTTAAGATTAGGTAATTTGATGAAATAAAGTTTTTGCCAATTTTGGTGTCCTATAGGTTACCTTAAAGGCTAACTTAACTTAACCCATAAGATGGGTTTGGTAGGATAGGTTTTTTAGGAAGTGCACTTACTAGTCACATTTTTTTTTTAAGTCAAAAGGATTGGGCATAGTTTAGATTTTACTCAAGGTGGAAACTATAAGTGTAACATACATGTTTCATAATTTTACTAGTCAACCATAAAGAACTAAGGGTTCCAATGGGATTTAACAATTTCATGGAAATGGTTGGGAAGTTTGAGACAGCATGCCAAAATTTAAATCAAGTTTAATCATGATGAGAATTGTGTGA